CTCAATACATAACCCTATAATATCTCCCGATGATGTTTTAGTTTACCTGACAGCCTTATTTAATTTGTCTCTTAAAGAGGGCGTTTTTCCAACTGTATGGAAGGAATCGTTCATAACCCCCTTACATAAAAGCGGTAGCTGGTCTTCAGTGGAGAACTACCGGGGCATAGCTAAGCTTTCTGCAATTCTTAAATTATTTGAAGCAATTATAACAAATCGGTTGACGCATTCTATCACTTCAAGCATTTCATACAGTCAACATGGATTTTGCAAGGGCAAATCTTAATTGGACTTAGTTTAAAAGGATAGTCAAAGTATGCTTGGGAGTTAAATATACAATATATGGTTTGAAGTACCTTAAAATTCGTGTGGTCGTGTTTCGCATTTTCATCCACACAAAATACTTATTTATTTATGTTCTAAAATACTTATATTTTTATATCGAAGAAAATGCACAAGTTCGAACTTGAGCCTTATTATACTGAAATTAAATTGGCTATAAAAATGCATGCTCAAAACTTTTCTAAAAAATCTGATTCGAAAATTTAAAATTTTGATAGCAAATTTTTTAAATTGGTTGATAAGTTGACCCCTGTTCCACAATAGTTTTTCATTAAAAACGGCCTCAAGCTCAATAAAATTTGTTGAATGTATACAAAATTTCATGAAAATCGGACCTGCCGTTCGCGAAGATTTATCTTTATATCATTAGTATAGATATAGACATAACTAAGTTTAGTGGCAACAGATTTTCGACCCTTTCTGGATCAAAGGGTTTTAGCACTTCGTTTGATAACAAATTCTTTTCAACATTAAGTTCGGAATTTGGATAGGTGACAACTTTTCAAATAAATTGTCCAGTAAACCTTTCTGAAACACTTTAGCTCGAGTTAAAGTCCCACACTGATGGGGTTTGGCTTTCGATAAGCGTTGCCACTAACAGTTTTTTTCGTACCAATTTTCTTCCCAAATCCGACCAAAATCGTTTACAACCTACCAAATAAATTTAAATTANTTTTCGACCCTTTCTGGATCAAAGGGTTTTAGCACTTCGTTTGATAACAAATTCTTTTCAACATTAAGTTCGGAATTTGGATAGGTGACAACTTTTCAAATAAATTGTCCAGTAAACCTTTCTGAAACACTTTAGCTCGAGTTAAAGTCCCACACTGATGGGGTTTGGCTTTCGATAAGCGTTGCCACTAACAGTTTTTTTCGTACCAATTTTCTTCCCAAATCCGACCAAAATCGTTTACAACCTACCAAATAAATTTAAATTACAACAAATAAGAAAGTCTAAGTTCGGGCAGAGCCGAACATTAAATACCCGACGCAAGTATTTAATACATGATTTTCACCTTTCCAAAAATACCTTTACATGGTAAACCGAGTGGTTTCACCCATATTTCTTACAATTTCGATAGTATGTTCAGTTAGACGTAATGAGTAAATTAGCGTCCTTAAATTTAGAAATATTGAAGTTTCAAGCATTTCTGAAATTTACCGTTATACGAAAAGCGGCCTCAATTTTAGTCCGATTTCAATAATTTTAAGCGTTTTGCTTTTATGTCCAAGCACAATAACCATACCGAGTTTGGTACAAATTGGTAGAACGGTTACCGAGATGCCACACCGATTTTCCAAAATTTTATCATAAACGTATTTCTTGCTAAAGAATTGCTACAAGCATCAATTTTGATTAAATTATTAATATTTACTAATTTATCGAAGATTTCGTATTTCTCCAAATTACCGTTATATGGGATGTGGACGTGGTTATTGTCCAATTTTAAAAATTTTCGGCCACTTGGTATGTTGTAGCAAGCCTAACAACTGTGCCAAGTTTGGAAGAAATTGGTGCAGTGGTTACCAAGATTTACACATGTAACCATAAGTGGGCGTGGCGACGCCCATTTTCCAAAAATTTATAATATACTTATTTTTCGTATAAAACTCATTGTAAATATCAATTTTGAGTGAATAATCTTCAGTAGTTACTAAAATATCGCAGTTTTCGTATTTCTGAAAATTACCGTTATATGGGAGGTAGGCGTGGTTATAGTCCGATTTTTCACATTTTCAATACCATCCGTCCTACGCCCGAAAGAAGTGCACTTACAAAGTTTCGTCAAGATATCTCAATTTTTACTCGAGTTATCGTGTGCACAGACGGACAGACGGCCAGACGGACGGACAGACAGTCACCGCTTAACCGATTTATCTTTTCATTCTGATTATGTATGTATACATTTGTCTATATCTCGATTCGTTTTGCCTGCTACAAACAACCATTATGTGAACAAAGTTATAATACCCTTGTGCACAAGTGCGCTCTGATATAAAAAAGCATTCTGAAAGCATACATCTCACTTAAGATTAAATCCCAGCAAACATTTGGAGTCATAAATGAGTCTTTAAGGAGTCCTATTTCGGAGCCATTACGCTCATAACACTATGCGACAGTCAAAATCGGGATGGGATGAAACCAACGGGAAATGTTATATCGGTCAAAAACAAGTTATACTTGGGCCGGCGTTTCGCTGGGTCACGTCTAGGAATCGAGATATATCGATTTGAAGTTGGTAACTATCATATAGGGGAAATTGTTACCTTTGGTGGTTTTTTTTTTGACATAACTCGAGAACCACTAGTCCGATTTTGCTCAAACAAATAAAAAAAAAAATAAAAATTACAATTCCTTTAATCTGTTAATATAACGTTTTTCTATATACTCAACGGTTTTGCCGGTAAAAATAAATGTATGAAGAGAAAAAAATTATTTTTGCCTAAAAATTAAAATTTTTTTTTTTAATTCATAAAAAATCTGAAACGGAAAAAAGGGTCACGTAAAGTCACACAACCTATGAACAAAATGAGACATACATCATGAAAATCAATGTCCCTCAAAATTCACTTCTTGCATCACCATCTCGAATACTTCAGCAAGCAGCTAGCCTCAGAGTCGGATGAACATGGCGAGCGCTTCCATCAAGTGGCAATGCCAATGGAAACGCGATATAAAGGCAAAAGGCTCGATTCGCTGGTGGCTGAAATTTGTTGGTGGTCGCAAAAGACGTACGATCCTGACAATGAAGATGAAGAAAAAGAATATACAATGGGAGTTTCCTCCGAGGGTAAGTCACAAAAATGAAGTTAACTGANAAAATTCACTTCTTGCATCACCATCTCGAATACTTCAGCAAGCAGCTAGCCTCAGAGTCGGATGAACATGGCGAGCGCTTCCATCAAGTGGCAATGCCAATGGAAACGCGATATAAAGGCAAAAGGCTCGATTCGCTGGTGGCTGAAATTTGTTGGTGGTCGCAAAAGACGTACGATCCCGACAATGAAGATGAAGAAGAAGAATATACAATGGGAGTTTCCTCCGAGGGTAAGTCACAAAAATGAAGTTAACTGACTGATTAAAAACAATTGATTTTTTCCAGATGAAGACAGATCCTCATCCGATACAGACTCTGAACAAGTGGGCGAACCACCACGCATGAAAGTAAAGGGCGCAAACAAACGAAAATAAGTTTTGCATTCATCGATTTTTATAACCTATGTATCTATGTAATAACCTAATAATTACCTGTAATAATTTTTAATTTTGCGTGTTAATAATAAATAATATATAATATATATTATCCAAATTCATTGAAACATAAAATCAATATTCTTGTCAAAATGAGATACCTTCACTTAATTGTGAATAAAAGCGAAACGCGTCCATCGATTTTCATGATCTATGTCTCATTTTGCTTAAAGGTTATGTGACTTTGCGTGAAAGTAATACGACTTGCCTTTTTTCCGTTTTGGATTTTTTATGAATTTAAAAAATAAAAAAATTTAATATTTTAGGCAAAAAATATTTTTTTTTTTCATACATTTATTTTTACCGGCAAAACTGTTGATTATATAGAAAAACGTTATATGAACAGATTAAAGCAATTATAATTTTTAATTTTTTTTTTAATTTTTTTAAGCAAAATCGGACTAGTGGTTCTCGAATTAAGTCAAAAAAAAGACCACCAGAGGTGACAATTTCGCCTATATGATAGTTACTAACTTCAAATCGATATATCTCGATTCCTAGACGTGACCCAGCGAAACGCCGGGACACGTATAACTTCTTTTTTACCGATATAACTTTCCCCGGTAGTTTGAACCCTTCCCGATCACTGACCCCTACCATTTGTCTCACAGTGTAATGAGCTCATTTAAGAGTCCGATATGAGGGTGTTTCCCATCCTTCGAAGGTCCGACTTATATGAGCTTAAATTCATACATCAAATGAGCCTCAATATCAGTCTTATTGGACTCTTATTGGCCTCATATACGGCTCATGCTGGACTCTTTTAAAACAATTTTTGGCCTCATATACATACATATGAATAATTTCAGACTCTTTTTGAAGCTCTTATCGGCCTCATAAATTGCTACATTCGGACTCTTATTTTAGGTTGTTCTTTGAGTCTTATTGAACGCACTATATTTACAAAGGCATTCAGCAAAAATTCCTTTCAAATAACATACATACATACTTACGTGCATATATACATTCCAACATGCATTCAATAGCAGCAGCTGCAGCTAAATTTTGTTCATTTTTTTCTAATTATTTTCAATTTCTGTATAAACAAGTTTAGATATAAATTGCAAATCTTTGTTGTTTTTACACAAGGTACTGGCTCATAACTTGGATCATATATGAATCCTAAAAGATTCATATAAGAGTAAACAATTTTTTGTTTTTGAAACTCATATTTCTTAGCTACCTAGGACTCCTTTCGGACTCATATATTCTGAACGCTCAGAATATATTTGAGGGGATGTATCGAATACAAAACATTTACATACATACATACATATTAGGAATGTTAATCCCGGGATCCCGGACTTTTTAAGGTCTCTTTAAGGTACTTGAGAAGAATCCCGGGATTTTCGGAATTTGTAATTTGCACTGATGGCAATACTAGAAACTCCTTTTCTTGACCAGTATTGGCTATATTTCTTTTTTTATTTAATAATTAATATTTTTTTTTATAAATATCTAGCTCATTATACATATAACACCGAGCGATAGCAAATTTTAAACGCAAATATCAATATATTCGCGAAAACATGAGCCAAATATAGTAAAATTGCGTTTATGTATTTCACTCTGACGTCAGTAATTCAAAAATGATTTAAAAAATTCGGCGAAATGTGCTTAGAGAAGAAGTATGGGTATAAAATTAATTAGGAAATCCTGTAGAATTTAAACAGATTCAAGTTTCTAGTGCAGAAGGGCTGGTAAGTATTGAAAATGTCATTTTAAAATTTTATCCTTGAAATTTCGCAATATTTGTTTTTGAAAAAATTATATGTTAAACTCGATAACATCCTCGAATTTCGTTCTTCTAACTTTTTCAGCTTAAAAATTACCTATTTGTCCTTGTGAATCCAAAAAGTTTTAATTTTTTAAATTCTAAAGAAATGTTCTATTGCATTTTTACCCATATTTTTATTCTACATTGCATTGAATTTTTTAATACTTTTTGGAATTAATCATATCTTTGAAATTACAAAGTCCATCAAAATAAATCCTGCGATCAGAGAGAACAAATAAAAACGCCACTTTAAATAAAAAAGTAGGTTTCAAACCCATTTACATATTTATTATTTATTTCATGGTAGGAGAGCTTCTCAAACAATATAGAAGCCATTTTTTCGATTCAAGTTGTTGAAAAGTAATGAATATCTAAATCCGGGAACTAATCCCGGGATACCGGGATTGTGACAACGCCATCCCGAAAATCCCGGGATCGGAAAAAATTAACATCCTTATTACATTTATGTAGTTTGTACATTTTAAAATAAGCAAGAAATAAATAAATGCAGGTACAGGCTTATGCACAGAGATGAAAAACAACGAATTATATATATACATGTTATGTACCAATAAGTTTAATTTCTTAAAAGTAAATTTAAATCAATTAATCACACATGCGAATCTTTAGCAACTGACCACACATAGTGCGGGTCATTTTTGTTCACAAGTTCCTTGCATATTATTATGCTATTGATAAGCTTATTTCTTAGTTTAGTTTTTATCAAAGAAAGCGCTGAAAATTTGCGTTCTGCAGCCGCAGAGCTATGTAGTAATGAAAATATATTAAAAAAAATCGGGAGGTGCATGAAGCAATTTTCATTCATTCCATTTTTAATAGAATAAACTCTTTCCCAAAACGTATCAATATTCAGATCGGTGGAAATATCAAGCTCACTTAGCCTCAGTAAGTTCCTCTACGTGGTTCTTATATCAGGATCGCAAACTATGAGATGGGAAACTTTTACAAAAGAGGTAAAATTGGTAAATCTTTAAAAACCAAATTAGCTGATGTAATTATTTGTAAAAGCTTTATATCTTCGCACTTGAAATCAAATCTTCAACTATTTGGCTCAAAATCTTTATGTAAAACTTTAATATATAGGCTTTAACTACAAGAATTTCAGAACTTCTCATGACAAAAATGTCAGATATTTCGTTCCAACAAAAATGTCAGATATTTTAATATGATTATTTTCATTTTTAAAATCAATATTAATATTATTACTGATCACATATGTTTGAATAAAGTTAAGTTAACTCTTTGTTAAGATTGTTAATTATGGGCAAGATTTGCGATAGAAATAAAAAATAGCATTTGGTTTTGCAACACATTCCTTCTACCAGGTCTGCAGATCGCATACCGTTTACTTCACAAAAGCAGGAAATAAAATAAAGTTTCAAACTATCCCTTTGCTCAACTATTCTTAACACAACGCCTTCTAGCGAAAGCCATCGTGTTTGAGATATGCCCAAGATTTTGTGGGGTTTTACCGAACACTAGTCCTGAAATTCCATCAGTGCGTGTATCCTCTTTGAACTGTGGGAAAAGAAACTATATTTGTTGTGGCAGTGTCTCAATGCTTTTCGGCAATTTTTACAAGCGTAGCTTGAGCAAAGGTAAAGTGAGTGACATGTGTACTTTATATAAAATAAATCGGTTTCTGCACTCAATAATGTTTTCAGCCCGCCTAAGTCTCCAGCCATAACATTGGTCCATCAGTGGCCAAACCAATTAGGTTTCTTATTTTTAATGGCAGGATTGGCAAATGTTCAAAGGGCAAATATTTATATGCAAAATGATGTTTGAAATATATATTTTTATAATTAAGAATTTAAAAACTTAATCAAACTTCTTCTTCTTTATTGGCGCTGTAAACGCCTAAGCGATTTTGGCTGAGTCCAAAGCAGCACGCCAGTCATATCTCTTCTGTGCTAACTGACGCCAGCTGGAAATGCCAGGTGAAGCCAAGTCCTTCTCCACCTGGTCTTTCCAACGCAGAGAAGGCCTTTCCCTTCCTCTGTTACCAGCATCGCGGCCCGCGTTGAATATTTTCAGAGCAGGAGCGTTTCTGTCCATTCGAACGACATGGCCAAGCCAGCGGAGCCGCTGAAACTTAATTCGCTGCACTATGTGTGTATCGTTGTAAAGCTCATACAGCTCATCGTTAAATCGTCTGCGATATTCGCCATCACCAACGCGTAAAGGTCCGTAAATCTTTCGCAGAATCTTTCTCTTGAAAAGTCCAAGAGCCGCCTCATCAGATGCTGTCATTGTCCATGCCTCCGCACCATACACCAGCACAGGCATGATGAGTGACTTATAGAGTGTGATCTTTGTACGACGAGAGACGACTTTACTTCTCCATTGCCTACTCAGCCCAAAGTAGCACTTGTTGGCAAGAGTGATTTCCGTTGGATTTCAAGGCTGACATTATTATTGGTGTTAATGCTGGTTCCCAAATAAACGAAGTCGTCTACTTTTTCAAACTTGTAACTGTCAACAGTGACGTGGGTGCCAAGACGCGTATGCTCTGACTGTTTGTGTGCTGACAGGAGATACTTCGTTTTGTCCTCGTTCACCACCAGACCCATTCGCTTTGCTTCTCTATCCAATCCCGAGAAGGCAGAACAGACGTAGCCCTTGTTTTTACCGATAATATCGATGTCGTCGGCATACGCCAGCAATTGTACGCTCTTGTAAAGTATTGTGCCTGAGCGGTTCAGTTCCGCGGCTCC